CTCTTCTGATTGGTTGGTGGAGGGGTAATTGGGAGTCACTTTCTGGTTCCAGCTGGTCTGGGGTCTACGTGCCTTTTGGGCAGCACACAGTTAACTTCTCCCACCCGGCGGGGGTTTCGGTGTCTGCAAAGCAGCTCAGAGGACACGGCTCAGAATATTATCTACAGCCCTTGAGGAGTAACCAAAGGTCCTTGACTTTAATGGCTAAACTATTATTATTTTGTTTTGCTTGACTGTTTTCCTGCTTCTCACTTCTCTGATTAAATTTACTCTTTGGAACTCAGGGAAGCCCTAGGAGACCAAAGCTTTTCTATAGATGAGAGGCAGGAGGAGGACAAGGGGATGGGGGTCTGTTCCAGGAAGGCCCCATAGGGTCCTGCTCGGTTACACTACCACGTTGGATCCTTATTAAATTTAAAATGTACAGCTCTTAGCATAGGACCTGGCCCAGATCAGGTACTCAGTTGTTAGCCATAGCTGTAATTACTGTAGTAAGACTCCTAAGGGAAACGCCTGGAGATTGTTTATTTTTCCTTCATTCAAAGACATTTGCCAGGTCCCCTCATTGTTCAAGTGATATGTGGGAATTCAGAGATTTTAAGAAATGGATTGCTTATTATTTCAGACAAAAATTGGAACATTAGGTTAAACAGATTTTAATATTTTTTTGAAACTTAAAAATATTTATTTATTCATTTATAATAACAAGAATCAACCTATTACATTCAGTATAAGTCATGTTTTTAACAGAAAATATCTAGATTTTCCAAAACAAGAGAAAATAAGTGAGAAGAGTGGCATTGTTTTACATTAAGTTCTTTTTACATAAATTTACATAACATTTTTTTTTAATTCAAACAGAAAGTCACAAAAATTATAATCCTTCTCATCAGTTCACTCAGTCCCGTGTAATTAATTCTTTTTTCATCTTGATCTTTTGTTGGCACTTTTATGAGTTCACCAGTTTTCCATTAGAGTTCTGAAAATGCTTCTTCATTCAGTTCAGCAGTAGAGTCAGTTACCAGAAACCTGTACTTGTCAGAGTCTTTTCCATGAATTCCTTGAAGATGAAACCCTTTTATAGGAACATTTTTGCAAAAGCATCAGAGTGCACCCAGAACTGTCTGTAAATGACAAAAGACTTAAAAATGACCACGGTTAAAGATTTGATGAAAGTTCATAATAATGCAATTGACAAGGAAATTTAGTTATTTCTGAGATATACATTTTAAAGTAATAACTAGAATTATGACTTACAACATTATACCAGAACATATAAGACTTTTAGGAATTTCATGTAATGTCTGAAACATTTATATTAACATATTTCCATACAAATAACCCAAAGAAAGTTTAGTGTTAGTTTTTTTTTAATTTTTAAATTTAATTGTATTTATTTTTTTATACAGCACGTTGTTATTCGTCATCAATTTTATACACATCAGTGTGTACATCATGTCATTCCCAGTCGCCCAGTTCAGCACACCACCATCCCCCCCCCACCCCCCGTGGCGTCCCCCCCTTGGTGTTTAACATTAGGTTAAACAGCAGATTTTAATATTTTTTACTGGGAACTCCTGGAAAATAGGTTTGTCGTATATTCATAGTCCCTGCCCTTTAGGAGAGATGAAATATGTGTACACACTTAAGTATTTTCTGTAAAACAGATAAAAGGTAAAAAGGCTGTAAGCGAAGGAAAAAATAAGGGACTATTGGGGATTGATTGTGAATCCTTCAAAACCCCTAACACTGTTGAATAACAAATAGAAGCTCAGGACCTGCTTTGAGAGAATTCTGGTAAGCTTAGGTGTCAGGTGGGTGTGTGTCCTTTGACCCCAGAGCGTCCTGTTACCTGCTGATCTGTGTAGCTCTTCCCCAAATAGCTGCTCACCTGGCCTGTCACTCTCCATCCCTTTATCCTGCTTTATTTTCCTTCTTAGCCCATAGCAACACCTGACATACTCTGGTTTGGTTTGTTCGATGCCTTTCTCCCTTCGCTAAACTCCTTGAAAGCAGGGACTTCGTCCATTTTGTTCCCTGCTCTATTCTCCAGTGCCTGGAGCAGTGCTCAGCACAGAGGCGGCCCTCCAGAAATGTTTGCTGAATGTTTTGTGAATGAACGAATCTGTATGCTTTATCAGCGGTCAGATAACACAGTGGCTAGGAGCAGAGGCTCAGGGCCAGGCAGCCTTGGTTTGCAGCTGGTGGTACCCATAGGGCGAGTCTCTCTACCTCTTTGTGCCTGATTTTCTCACGTGTATGGTGGGGATGGTGACCCACCTCCCAGTGTTCTTATGTGGATTAAGTGAGTTATTACAAAGGAAGCTTTGAGAATTGAGCCCAGCCTGTACTAAGTACCATTCAACCCCTGTTGCCATTACTGTTACAATTATCATCCTCCCTTTCTGTTTGCATTTGTGACTAGAATGACAAACTGAAACTTAGATTATGCAGAAATTTCCTTTAAAGAACCTTCAACATTTTTCTCCCTTTATGACTTTGATGCAGGTTCTCCACCTACGATTCTACCTGCCAAATTGCACAAGAGATCGCTGAGAAAATTCAACAACGAAATCAGTATGAAAGAAATGGTGAAAATACAACCAAGGTAAGACCAGGAATGAGTACTTCAAATGATTTGTTTGAGCTCTGAGGTCTGAAAACCCTCCCCTTTCTGACTCTGTGTGTATGTGTGTGTGTATGTATAATGGCCTTTATGCTTACACATGTCGAATTGACATTACAACCAATCAGTTAACAGTTATTTAATCACTAGGACTAAATGAAGCATGACATCTCTATAATCTCTCCTACTTTACCTTAAAAAGTTTCTAACAATTTCATAGTGTAGTTCCAAGGTTGGCACACTTTCCCCCAGATGGTAAATCTGTCAGGCTTTGCAGGACAAGAGGCCAAGTTCTCACCTCTATGAGTACCCATTCTCGACAAATTGATAATAGACTTTTTTGGTTTTTTACATTTTACATTTAAAAATGTAAAAAATCATCCTTCGCTTGTGGGCTGTAAGAAACAATGGTGGGATTTGGCGAGGAAATATGGTTTTTAGAAAACCATGAGTCTGTGCCAATACTTTTGATTCTAATCCAACATTCACAGGTTTCTTTGTAACTTCCCCATTCTAAATTAGTATTTTCCTTCCTTCTCCCGCAGTGAGAACCCAGGTTTCCAGAAGCATTGATATGTTTTTGCTCATTTGGTCTCTCTTAGAGTTTATAGAAAGTAGTTTCAGAATCATTACACAAGGGCCACTACAGACAATAAGTAAAGTTTGAGTTTGTGTCTTTATTATTATTTTTTAAAATTTAGAATATCCCCCTAAGGATACTGAGGTTATTCTGTTCTAAAGCTATTAGATTTTTTTCTTTTTTTTTCTGTGTCTTATGCTCTCCTTTGTATCTATTGATATTCATTTTCAGGGTTTGCTTTTCTTCCCTACCCTTGCTGATACCATTTTTAATATGTAGAACATTTACATAGTTCAAAAGTCAATATTATATACAAAGGTATACTCAAAGTCTTGTCCCCATCCCACTCTTTTCCATGCCTTCTTCACCTGCTTCTTAGAGGTAGCCTTTTTTTAAAATTAATTTCTCATTTATTCTTCCTGTGTGACTTCTTGCAGAAATAGGCATTCAGGTGTGTGTGTGTGTTTGTGTGTGTGTGTGTATTCGCATTTCTGTTCCTTTGACACAAAAGTTACTCTTTTGTATCTTGCTCTTCTCACTTGATAATATATGATAGAGATATTAATGCACTGAGATCTTCTCAGTTTTTCTTAGGGCCTTATAGTCCTGTATTGTGTATACTCTAGTTCATTAACCTGTCTCCTAAGAATGGGCATTTAGAGTGTTTCCAGTCTTTTGCTGTTATGAATAATGCTGCAATAAATAGCTTTGTGATTTTTTTTTTTTTGTATTTGTATTTGTGGAGGTTCTTTTAAGGGTGAATTCTCAGAACCAGGGCATATGTGATTTTTTTTTTTACCTGTTGCCAAATTCCCCTCCACAGGAGTTGTCACCTTTGGCTTCACAGCCTGGCCAGCAGAGGGCGCTGTCAATTTTCTGAATTTTTGCCAACCTGATAAGTGAGATAAAATATTTTAGTGTAGTTTCATTGTCTTCATTTTTTTAATTGAAGCATAATTGACTTACAATATTATATTCGTTTTGGGTATACAGCATAGTGATTTGATATTTATTTTTTCTTTCTTTTTTTTTTTTTTGCCGTACGTGGGCCTCTCACTGTTGTGGCCTCTCCCGTTGCGGAGCACAGGCTCCGGATGCGCAGGCTCAGCGGCCATGACTCACGGGCCCAGCCGCTCCGTGGCGTGTGGGATCTTCCCGGACCGGGACACGAACCCGCGTCCCCTGCATCGGCAGGCGGACTCTCAACCACTGCGCCACCAGGGAAGCCCAATATGCATTCTTAAAATCACTTATGCCATTGAACATCTTTTCATATATTAATTGGATGTTTGTATTTCTTCCTTTATGAATTGCCTGTTATATACATGTCTTTAACCTACCTTATTATTTCTTAATTTCCAAGTGTTCCTTATATATATGTCAACTAAGCTTTGATTAAGCTTTGATCTGGCATATTTGGTGCAAATATTTTTTCTATTAATTTGGATTTTGATTTTATAAATGACTTTAAAATACATGTATACACTTTTTAAAAATTTTATTTGAAATTGTCACTATTTTTATTTATGGCCTTTTCTTATAGGAGAAGGGGAGATACTGCTTAGAAAGGCCTTTCACACCCAGGGATTATAGAAGTACTTTGCCTAATTATCTAAATTTTCGTTAAGCTTTTCTCCTCTTTTTTATCTTTTTTTAAAACACATAAATCTTTATAATATTTGAAATTCATTTCGTGTATTGTAGGCATCTAATTTTTTCCCATTTGCTAAATTATTAATCCCCCCCTAAATATGAAATAGTCCATATTTCATTCACTGAGTTCTTACATAGCTGCACTGTTTCTGGACCTTCTGTTCTGTTGCACTAACGAAGCCATTGGTAACTACCAGCATCATACTCTTGTAGTTTTTTGTAAAGATTTAATATCTAATTGTTTAAGGCCCCCTTAGTTACACATATCCGTGATCTTTCTATATTTCCCTTCATTTATCCTCCTTTTAGAGCAATTTTGCATAGCTTTATTAAAAAGAATTTTGGGGGGCTTCCCTGGTGGCGCAGTGGTTGAGAGTCCGCCTGCCGATGCAGGGGACACGGGTTCGTGCCCCGGTCCGGGAAGATCCCACATGCCGCGGAGCGGCTGGGCCCGTGAGCCATGGCCGCTGAGCCTGTGCGTCTGGAGCCTGTGCTCTGCAACGGGAGAGGCCGCAACAGTGAGAGGCCTGCTTACCGCAAAAAAAAAAAAAAAAAAAAAGAATTTTGTGCTGTGCCTCAGTTACCATCTCCTCTCCAATAAAAGGGCTCCAAATAGGGTTTTGGGTAGATGTGTAGTATATTTATAGACTAAACTGGGGAGCATTTACATTTTTGCAGTATTGAGTGTTTCCTTTCACTCATTCCATCAGCAGTATTTCCTGCAGTTACTATACACCAGGCACTGTGCTAGATATTTTTTAGATTTTGTTGATATTGTTAATGATGTTTTAAAATAATTTTTTAAAAGTTCTCCCTATTACTTGAATTTAGGAATGCCCTCAATTTTTTCATTTTGTGATTGATCACCATCCTGAATTCTTTATCTGTTTCTAGTCATCTTTTAGGTGATCCTCTTAACTTTCCCAAACAGACTGTTATCAGTGTGCAAATAATGATAATTTCATTTCCTTCTTTCCAGCCCTTATTATTTCTTTAACTTGTCTTATCATGTTGGTTAGAACTTCTAGACCAAAGTTAAATAATATTGTAGTTCAGGCAGCACTGACTGATTTTTAGTTTTCTTTGTTTCTGTTTTGTTTTTAATTAATTTCTCCCATGCTGTGTTAATCATATGTTTAGTCTGTCTTTAGTAATTAACACTGTTAGCTTTATTATTAGATTTTCTAACATCAAACTATTCTTAAATTACTCAGATAAATTCTACTTGGTGATGGTATATTGTCATTTTTAATGGAATTCTGAATTTGCTTTGCTAAAATTTTTTAAAGACTTTTACATTTATAATCCTTAAGGGAGATTGGCAAGTAGTTTCTTTTTTTCTGTTATCTCTGTCAGCGCTTGTTACCAGGGTTGTGTTAGCTTAAAATATGAATTAGGCTTTCCATCCTTTTCTGTGCTTTGGAAAGCTTCTGTTAAATTATCATAATGGGACATTTCTTCTGATTATGAAAGTAATAGTTTTCTTATAAAATATTAAGAAATCCCACTACTTAGAGATAACTACCCTTGATGTTTTGATGTCTTTAGGTCCTGGGTTGTTTTTTCTCTATGTGGATGACACTTCTTTTTATGATTTGATTTCTTTTTCTTTTAGTAAATTATGATGGGTATCTTTCTATGTTAACAAATATAGATTTCAGTCATACTTTTTTTTTTTTTTTTTGGCCATGCTGCGCCGCATGTGGGATCTTAGTCCCTCTACCAAGGATTGAACCAGCGCCTTCTGCATTGGAGGCATGGAGTGTCAACCACTGGACCGCCAGGGAGGTCCCCAGTCATACTTTTTAATGGCTACATATTCTTTCAACTGTTGAATGCTTTTGATCTTTAATTTCGTAGATTCTTCTCAGAGACCGGTGTGTGTGTGTGTGTGTGTGTGTGTGTGTGTGTGTGTGTGTGTGTTGTTCTTTTGTTCATTTGTTTGTTTGTTTTGCTCTTTACTTCTTGAATGAGGAGGGATCTGCTTTCCTTGGCGTTTCCCCATAAACGTTGTGGGTGGTTTTTCTGTGGTTCCCAGAGGTATTAGAATAGTTAAGGTGAGATTTTTCTTGGCTGCTAATACCTTTGAGGGTTGCTTGATGTGTGTAGCCCTTGGCCAGCCTCTGCTGTTGCGCTGTATTTTCCTTATGTGACCCTTGCTAATCTAAGGAGAGAGCCCCTGCTTCCACCGCAGTTGTATAATTGCTTCTTTTAACAAGGTAGCAAACTTGTGAGAGTGCCTTTTTAAACAAATCTCCAATTATATCCGTGGTTGACTATGTTTACTTTACACGGGCGATTCTATTTTTCATATTTTTAAATTCCTAAGAGGCTTCCTCCCCACCTCTCCACCATCCTTTAAGGCAGCACTTAGAGTCACAAACAAAACTTTACTCTGGGTTTGTAAATTGGAGAAAATTCACACCTCCTGGAAAAAGAGTCCCATGTGGTCAACACTCCTCTTGTATAAAAAGGACACCCTGCTATAAAACTTTTAATGGGTTGTAAGTGTACCCGTGTGTTTAGGGAGGAGTGGCCGGGATGGCAGTGGGACTTGACGTCTTGTTCTGTGCAGCATGGTTGAGGGAACCGTGGGGCTTTTGCTGGTGAACAAAGACTGGGGACATGCAGTTTCCTGCGTGGCTCCAAGGTAGACAAATAGGATCCGAGGGTAGATGCTCAAGGGACAGAATTCAGCTGATTGTGAGAGCAAAGTGACAGTTTCCAGTCAATGTCAGGGTTCAGGTATGGACCGGCTTACCAGCTGGTCAGGTCATAGGGCTGGGTGTGAGCATCAGGTGGGTGGCTGGCCCAGGTGACTGTTAAGATTCTGTACAGCCCTGAGGTTGTCGTTGCAGCCCTTCCTTGATTGAATCATAGTTTGTAAAGCAGCGTTTACATGATATTTTAAGGAGACCTCACACCTCTGGACCAGCATTCTCAGGCTGTGTTCTTTTCTTTTCAGCTTACCGTGACAATCAGAGCTTTGTTGCAGAAACTGAAGGAAAAGATCGCCCTTTTGAAGGACTTATTGCTAAGAGCTGTGTCAACACACCAGATGTATCCATGTAAACATTTCCACCTCTTGCTAGAGTGGGAGGACAAGCAGTCTTATTTTAAGAAAGGAAGGAATCTGGGCCACCCAGATTTTTCCACAGCTTGAGGAAGACCTGGTTTCCAAAATATTGCCTATAATCTCAATTTCTATTTTAAGCGTCTGTTACATGTTTTACAGTGAATATGCTGGCGAAGCAAGACACACGGCAGGAGTTAACTTAGTTGGGTGTAACCTTAATAGTGCAGGAAGCTCATGCTTTCTGTCAGTGCTGTATTTACACTGAGCCCCATGTTGCTACCTGTCTAGACTGCCTTGAAGGTGGTCCAGCAGGAGAACTTCCATGACACCCTTGAGTTGTGATTCTGCTTCTGTAGTTCCCAGAGTTTTGAACGATTCGTTTTCTTTTCTGAGAGGCCAGTACCCGTAGAAACGATGCATTTTTTCCCCCCAATTATGTAGATTATTGAGATGTGACTTCTTTGCCTTATTGTTCTAAAGGTCCAGACAGTACCCCTGTTTTGGGAGTTTTGTGGGGTGGGAGACACTTGCCTGAAGCAAGTTATGTCATCACCTCAGCCTCCCACCAACAATGTCAAGAATTAAGATATTTCTTTCTTTTTTTTCGGCCGCGCCATGCAGTGGCTTGTGGGATCTTAGTTCCCTAACCAGGGATCCGACCTGGGCCCCGGCAGTGAAAGTGCGGAGTCCTAACCATTGGACCTCCAGGGAACTCCCCAAAATATTTTCTTTCTTTCTTTCTTTTTTTTTTTTTTAGAAATTCATAATCTGATCAATTTAGGAAAATAAACTTGACCTGTTACGTAAACTAATCCTTTAAATCTGAGTTGAAAACTGACCTCAAACTGGTCCTCTCTTACCATTCCTTTCCATTGTCTTTAGTTTGTACCAAACTTTGGTATCTCGGGAAGTGGTTGTTAATGCCCAATTTTAAACATGGGAAAATGTAGGAATATAGCTTTTTAGATAAAACAATAGAAGATGTTTTAAAACATATTTTTCTCCCAAGCATCACCACTGTATGTCACCAGGGAGGCTGGTTTAGATAGTTGCATGATTTCCAGTGTGCACTTATTAAAACGCTAAGGTTTTAACTATAAGTTTAATTTCAGGAAACAATTGGGCCCGTATTTTTAACACAGTTGGAATATTCTGATGTGTTTAGTTTGTAACTTTACCCTCCATCTGGCATCATTTGTTACTGCACAGTCTGTTATATAGGTTTTTATTTTATCAAAATGCACAAGTCTTAATATATAGACCTCAAGGTGGCAGAGCTGTGTTCTCCACTTTCAGTACTAAGGACTTGGAACTCTGCACATGGGATCAAGGTGTGCAAACTCATTTTAATATTACCTAAATCACGTGTATTAGAAACGTAGTTAAATATTGTTTCCCGGTGTAATATTAATAACTTTATTTGCCCATAGGTAACTGATTATTATTCATCTTATAATATTTATGTGCTAAACCTATAGCGCACGAAGATATAAATTAATAACCTTTACTTTTTTCTATCAATAATTTCTGCTAGTTCTTAATTATGGGGTGTACCAAGCACGCCACAGTAATAATTGACTTTGTTTTTCTAAATGCTTGCAGTCTGACCATATTCTGAAATCTCATAGACTCTGGTTTTGTGGTGATCTCGGAATTTGCTGAATGAGACACCAGGCATTTGAAAACACCAGAGTTATTAAATACTCTGAAAATATGAAATATTTATGATAATATTTAAGGACCATCATGTGAATAATTTAGAATTTCCCAGGAGAAATCAAAAACTCGTCTGGAATATAACAGCTTTCTTTAAAATCTAATTATTTTTTTCAAATAATTGGGTCTATTTCTACTGCAACTGCAACCAAAACTAGGGGTGGAATTCAGATAATCCACCCCATGGGGGCGCTCATAAACCTCTGTATTTTCGGGGAGACCATTTCTTAGATAGAATGGAAAGGGGGCAGCTGAACCTTCTTTACAAAAGAGGTATTGAGGCCAAGGCAAACTTGCACCTCAAGTCACTGATGAAGTTGGAAAGAAAGGACAGCATTCCAGCAGAGGAATTTTTTCACACCGAGGAGAAGAATATTTAAGAGCTTAAGTAACTTGCCCAGACCCCACTGCTAAGAAATGGAAAGCTAGGATTCCAATGCAGGGCTGTCTGAAGCCAAAGCCACTTGTTTAAAAGCTGAATTCTACTTTAGTGATAGAATACAGTCCACTGTCACGTGGCCTGTCTTCAACTAGAGTCCCCTATTGCTTGGCATGTTGCTGTAATGCCAAGACAAATCTTGTTTATAATGCAAATCCTCAAGACCCTTCTTAATCATCAGAAAGATTAAACAGTCTTCACTGTGGTTTATTAGGTATACTTTATGATGTTGTAATTCTTAGAAAAATTTGTGTCCATAAATCGCCGGGAGAGTGACTTTTTAATCCTTTTTCTTGAGGCATAATTAATGTTGGGTGACTTTTTTAACGTGAATATTTGAAAGCCACATTTCCTTACTGTGTTGGGTAGTTGAGTTTATGGTACCTTACTTAATAAATTTATGTCTTTCTGCATTCGTGAAGTTTTCCAGAGAACACTAGGAGTTGCCAGAAAGATAAGTCCTATGAAAATGCCTTCCAAACAGTTAAATTCTGGGAGGTTAGGCCTAAGATGTTACTGCTCTTCCCTGAAAAAGTATTTTTCTCTAGCAAGAGTAAATGTGAAATTAAAATGAAAGTGGCGTGCTTTCGAATTGGTTAACTTGCAATTCATAATTGAAAGTCCTGCAGCCAGAGAGTTGAAAATTGCTGAAATACATTAACTTCTGTTCACGGTGCTTCTTGGAGATGGGGATTATAATGGCCTCACCAGCTGAGAAAAGGTGGGTTTACAGGAGGGCGCACAGGAAATTTCAGGTAATGCTAAAATTATTCTTAGAATTAGCTTTAAATGAAGCTTGTCTTTTTGTTGGGTTTTTCAAAGGCAACACTTCTGGTACTTTAAAAAGAATTTTAAAAAATCACTTTACAGAGGGGTTCAGTATCAAAAGGTAATTTTGGTCTCTTTGGAGAAGTCCTGTAGAAATAGTAATAATTATTATTTTTTGGTCGTGCCGTACATCTTGTGGCATCTTAGTTTCCTGACCAGGGATTGAACCCAGGCCCCCAGCAGTGAAAGCACCGAGTCCTAACCACTGGACCACCAGGGAATTCCCGAGAAATAATTTTTTTAAATCCATAAATAACTCTGCTCCACTTTGTATTTTTTGGGGGAAAAAAAGATGCGTAGACAAATAGGTAGATGGCAGGATAGATGCCCCAATCACCGTGTAACAAACCTGGATACATGTAGGTGTGGAGAGGCTCACTGGATAGATTTTAGGGATAGCCCCTCAGGGCTCCAGTGGAGGTGAAGTGGTTCTAAAACACTGCACCTGGCCATGACAGTTTTCACTGGTGTCTACTATTGTGAGAAAAATAAGGACAAGATAATTTTTATTTCAGTAGAAACTTTCTGATTTATAGTCTGTTTACATGGTTCTCCCTGGTTTTGGGTATTAACATCTGCTTCTTTTTCATCATGACAGTAAAAGTAGATGAGAGTTTTGTCTGTTGTGGGTTTTGGAATGTCCATAGATGGCAAAATTGGTCTATATAAATCCCCCCATCACCATCCCCGCAGTTTGTTTGGAAATACTTCTGCTCCATGAAATCCAAAAGTCTGGGCACCGTTGGAATACTGGGAACAACATTGGCTTTGGAGCCAGACAGAACTGAGGTGGAAGACCAGCTCCATCACTTCCCCAAGGCCAGAGAGCAACGTAGCCTTTCTTGACCTTAGTTTCATTAATCTGTAGAGTAGGAATAATCATACTTGTTTTGCAGGTTGTTGTGAAAGTTGAAGAAAATATATTTAAAGCATCTAACAGGACAAGCCACCCCCATAATTGTGGGTGTTAAATAAAAGATAGTTATTAACCCTTTGTGGGCAAGTTACTTCTTTGTGCCTGTTTTCTCACTTGTGAAGTAGGGATAATCAAAGTACACCCGGCTTGTGGGATTATTGGGAGGATTAAATTATATGCATAGAAGGTGTTTCACATAAAGTAAGCCCCCCTCGAGGATTAGCTGCTACTTACTATTTTATCTTTGTTAAAATTACAGCCATCTTGGAGAATTTACAGGTAGTCCTTTTATGGCGTTTATAATCAAGTAAGAAGGGTATATCAAAGCACATAGATAGTGATAGTATTAAGATCCTACTTGCAAAATCTGATCAGTGCTTTGAGGAAGATAAGGACCTGGTCAGGTACATAATAGATATTCAGCAGAGTTTGTTAACGTAAAAAAAAAATAGTAAAATGAAAGGGATGAAGTACTATGTGAGCCAGAAAAATCGCCTGGCCTCTGGGACCTTACACTGTCTCTGTGCAGTCCTTCTTGCGGCAGTGGGAAGTAATTATGCTTCTGCAGAGCAATTAATTTGCACGTAAGACTTGCCTAAATTCTTAAGCCTTCTACCAAATAAGGAGAAACTCCAGGAGCTAGAGTGGGGGTGGGGCATCCCCTGGGTCCAGCACCATCTTCAGCCCACTCCATCGTAGGTTGGAAGTGCTTCCCAGGTTATAGCAGAGAAACTGGGCTGAGGCACGTTGGTCATGGGTATTGGTGATACGAAATCAGGACCCAGTTTCATTTGCAGCGTTGCATTGCCATGAACTGGTTATAATTACATGTAACATCAGCCTAGCTGATGAAAAAGTACTATGGTAGCTAGCTCTTCTGTTTCCTTATTTGTCTGTTCTCTGACCTTCTTCCTTGGTTATTCACCACGTTGGTGGAAGAGGAGGTCCCAGTTCTGGCCACTGACTGTGTGCCCTGTGTTCTACTTGTCCTTCCTTACCCTGTCGTCGCTTCCCCCAACTACCATGAGACCACATCCATGCAGTGTCACCACTGCCTAGATGATTCTTTGACCTCTCGTTAACAACAACTTCTGTATAGTAAGTGTGCTTTGCAGAAGGGCTGTGCATCTGTCTATTCTCTTCAACCTCCTCTACCCTCCCCCCCATCTCCTTATGCTCTGTTCTCTTAATAGGTTAAAATAAAAACAGAACAAAGAGGTAGAGTGAGTGTTCCTAACTGGACAGTTTTCCAGTTGTCCTGGATTTACAGGGAGTCTCTGGGAATATTCTGAATTAATATTACCAGTATTGTTATTAACAGGATACTAAGAAGTGGCAAAGTTAAGTGAGCAGTACTGGGGGCCTCAGGGTGGAGGAGCCCCTGGAACGTTTGGTGGTCAAGCCCCACACGAGGTGGTAGGAAAGCCCTGACTTAGACTGGAAAGAGCTGGGCTCTAGCCCACTATTGTCATTACCAGCTGCCCAGGGCCCTGGTTTCCTGGTCAGAAGAACAAGAGACTTGGATATGCCTCCCCTAGCATCAGCTGTCTGTGATTCTGTTCTTCACTTACTAATCTTCAAAACATAATCACCAAGTTTTATTGCTCCTAAAATTGATGTTCTTTGTTAATTTATTCTCAACTAGTTTATATCTAACATTTGCTAAATTTAAAACTTGCCTTTATTGTTTTTATTAAAAAAGTACTTTCTACCTGTATAGTTCTTATTTTATTTTATTTTTTTGCGGTACGTGGGCCTCTCACTGTTGTGGCCTCTCCCATTGCGGAGCACAGGCTCCGGACGCGCAGGCTCAGCGGCCATGGCTCACGGGCCCAGCCGCTCCGCGGCATGTGGGATCTTCCCGGACAGGGGCATGAACTCATGTCCCCTGCATCGGCAGGTGGACTCTCAACCAGTGCGCCACCAGGGAATCCCTATAGTTCTTATTTTTAACCAATGACTCTTCTCTCTCTTCCCCATCCCCATCCTATTCCAGCTCATTCTTTCATAGTTAATGTGTTAGTGGTTGGTACCTGCCATCACAGACTTTTCTAGGCATGAACAAATATATACACGTGTAAATATAAAATGCTTTTGACTACAGAGGGATCATATTATACGTTTGGTTCTGAAATTTTTTGTTAATTAGCATTTGATAGAGTCAAACAGTCCAAAACAATATTGGATGGGAAGTAAGTCTCCCTTACACCCTGAATCCCCAGTTCCCTTTCCTTAGAGGCAACTCTTTTTGTATCCTTCCATAAATTTTAAGTGTATATGCAAACATATATGTTTCTCTGATTTTTTTTAATGTATGCAGTGGGAGCATACTATTCACTGTTTAGCTCTTTGCTGCTTCTTTTTGTTTAACACTATTTTGGAGATTATTCCATACCAAATAACTTATGTAGCACTTAGTAAGTGCTCAGATATGTTAATTATCATTATCATCGATACATAAAGAGCTTTCCTCTTCTCTCTCTCTTTTTTTTGGGGGGGCTGCAAAACATACCATTATAGAGGTGTGCTAGTTCCTTATTGACGGACCTTAGAATGTTTCCAATATTTGGCTAATATAAATAATGCTGCAGTGAACATCTTTGTTCCTGCATCTTTGTATAGACATGTGAATATATCTGCAGGAGAAATTCCTGTGGAAAGAATGTGCCTTTTAAATTTTGTTATGTATATAGAAGGCAACGTGGCAATTGGTTGAACCCATTTCCATTCCCACCAAGGATGTCCGAGAGTGCTTGGTTCCTTGCCCCTTTCCAGAACCGCCCTGTCGTAGTTTCTTACCTGATGGGTGAAAGTGATAGCATGGTTCAGTTTGCATTTCTTTTACTAATGTGAAACTGCATTTTTTTCCATTTGATTAGCATTACTGTTTTCTTTTTTCTATGCCCTGTTATCTCCTTTGCTGTTTTAAAATTTGCCACTATTAATTTGTCACTTGTAATTTTACTTTGCAGGTATTTAAAACTTTTATAGAGCCAGATTTAGTGTTTCCTTCATGGCCTCTGGGTTTTCCTTCTTGACTAGAAAGATCTTTCTTACCCTAAGAGTATTAGAAAGTTCTCCAAAGTCGTCTTCTAATGATATGTAATTTTACTTTTTATGTTTAAACCCCTGAGCCAGTCAGATCTGTGCTTAATTGTAATATTGGATTATCGTTCAGCTTATGCTCGCTTGGATGGTTGGATAACTAAATCCCAACAAAACCACAGGTTGCCAGAGTAGGTTGAGCGTAGAACAGAAGACAAGGGTTATCAGCATTGTGGTATAGTTAATAGTTTTCCATGATTAAAATTCAGTTTTGTCCTGTATAATTCATGACATAGGTTCTGTCTCTCCCCACCCCCAGGAGCGTTTTTTTAGATAGAAGAGGCTTCTGCTTTATTGACAATTTGCCACTGATTTGAAACACATTGATATTTATTCTTGGTGTTGCATTGATCAGAAGGCTAATATTTGGCCCTTTTATTAGTACAGAGGAAGGACTTAAGCTCACTGTTTCTTAGTTACAGTTGCTACTTCACGGTTTCCAAGATGGGTTCTTAATGACTGTAGTCAAGCAGGAAACGGAAAGGCGATGGTAGTCATTTTTCTTAGGAAAGCGTGGCGTTCTGGAATGTTGAGAGAATGTATCCATTATTATTTTTTAAGTAGTCAAAGTCACTAACACTCCTTAGTTACATTGGTTTGGGGGGGATTTATGATTTTTCTAACTAGTGTCTGTTACTGGGGAACATTTTTGATGGGTTTATTTGCTTTTTTTTAATAGTTGGCCAGCTTTTTCTAGTCAAAATGATCAACAAAAGTAGATTCACTGGGCCGTGGTTTTCCCACCCAGGGAAACTTATTTGATTCTGCCAAGCTCTCAAACTTCTGGGGCCTAAATGCAGGGTTTAATATCCCCTCTTGAAAGGACAAGTATCTATAAATCCAGAAATCCAAAGTAGTAGTCTCACTTTTACTGGAACCAGGAAAACTGTGGCCATGGATTGTGCCGGAGGAGGTGTGAGAGATTATCTGGGTGCCATATGAAGAAACAGATTCAAAAAGGTGAAGTAATTGGTTCAGGATCATAGGTAAGGATCAAAATAGGACTAGCTGGCCTTTGGACTCCTAGTCAAGCATGCTTAGTAGATTAACATATTAAAATATGATTATTTCTTTGTAATTTTGTTGAGAATTAAAGCTCATGCAATGTATTTAATGAGCCGATGGTAACAGCTTTTTAGAGCAAATCTGTTGCATAAAGTAGCCCTTTACAAAATACATTCCAGGTGTGTTAATAGGTGTTCATTAACATGGAAGAAAGGGGGCAACATAGAAAACTTTTCTTTCTCTTTTTCCTTTTTTAGCAGAGTATCTTAGGGTATTAGTGTCCAGGAAAAACCCTTGACCACTGTGACCTAAAACTCAAAGCCTGATGACTCCCTGAGTCACATTGCTCTGTTGAGAGGAAGGACATTTCAGGGGTGGCCGCTGGGAGGAAAATCGTGTTTACCAACTGTATTTCTCAGTGAAGGATCTCATGTGGCGGATCTGTGTCAGTGTTTGTTAAGTCCCTCTGCGATGGTTCTGTCCAGGTCCTTTACTGGAAGGATCAGTGAGGTCTGAGGTTAGAGCAGCAGGAGAAGGTTGGTTCAGGCCTCTTCTGGGTAGGATTGATCAGAGCCTGTAACAGTCCTTTCTGACTTGGAGAGCTCACTTAACGTAATAGGTCAAATGAGGTAATTCACCTGCTCTTGGACCTTAACGAGATGTCTGCAGAACACAGCTCGAAGGAGACCGAAGACAAAACCTTTTGGATGATCTTGTAACTCGAGAGAGACTACTTCTGACATCCTTTAAGAACGAGGGTGCAGAACCAGATCTCATCAGGTACGATGTTTTCCTTTACAGGGTTTATGTGGTGGGTGAAATTTATTTCCAGAGACTACAGCTATTTCCTGAATGGCTTAATTTCTTTTTTTTAAATTTCTTTAACTAGTAAAATATAGTCTGTTCATTTATAGTGTTTGTCATTTTCTATGCAATGTAGTTTTCATTAAATTTCTAGATTTAATAAACCAGATATGTTCAGCTGAATCCCATCTTGGAGGAAGGCTATTTAGGTATAATACAAAGTCAGAAAATGTCTTTTCATTCTTTAGGTTGAGCTTTCTGCTATGTTAGCTGCCTTTTAAACTCTAGAAATCATGTTCTTATCTGTGTTGGAAAATGATTTTTTAAAGATTTTTTTGATGTGGACCATTTTTAAAGTCTTTATTGAATTTGTTACAATATTGCTTCTGTTTTATGTTTTGGTTTTTTGGCCACGGGGCATGTGGGATCTTAGCTCCCCCACTAGGGATCGAAAGAACCGGCACCTCCTGCTTTGGAAGGTGAAGTCCTAACCACTGGGCCGCCAGGGAAGTCCCTGAAAATGATTTTTTTAAATTGACTTGTTATAAAAATGTGTCCTAAAGGTTGTAGTCCATGGTTCATGGAATTAGAGGCGTGGGGCCGTTGGATTCTTCTCTCTGTTCTTTGCTGGAGAGTAATTCACACTCTACAGTTGTCAGCTGCTCTGTACCGGGCTCTGCTGGAAGAACCCAGAGAAGCGGTCCGGCCTTCCCAGCTGAGGTTAATGAAGTATAAATTGTGACATCTTTAGAACTGGCCTCCCCCCCGGCTTCTAGAACTCTCTTAACGTCATTGTGGGAAACATCACAGATGAGATGAGGATAAAACCCTCCTCTCCCCGCCTTCCCCACAGAGGTGATGATGCCTTCATTGTGGGGCGGCAGCTTGTTCCTGGTTAGGAGTCATACTGCTTCCCAGGGGCGGTGTTTTTTTTTTTTAACGAGGCTCAGCCTCAGACAATTAAATCCAGGGGCGTGGAGGGCGTGGTCATAGAGGGGCCCCAGGTGATTCTGATCTGCAGCCAGGCTTGAAAAACCACAGACCAAGGGAGAGCCGAAGAGGATAAGCCGGCTGCCTGTCGGTCCTAGCTTTCTCTGGAGCGTGGGATCCAAGGTTTGTGGAAAGAAACGTTGAAATTCGGGAAGCTAGATGAAACGTTGGAGCTGTTCGTTTGGAGAAATAAAAGCCAGGAGTTAGGGAAGGAGGAGCTGTGTCCTGGGCAGCGTTTGTAAGCGGACGCCGAAGCCTCCGGTGAGCTGGCTGATCCATCGTGGTGCCGGACACTGCTCGGGCGGATGCAGGAGTGAAGTGGGAGGGTGAAGGTGGTGATTCAGGGCTGGTGAAAAAGAACTGGTGAGCAAGGGGATCCAGGGTGAGGAGAGAGTGCCCTCTGTCAGGGCAGGTCTTCACATCGAAGTCCAGAAATGTAGTAAAGGTAGCGTGGGGCGGGAGAAGCAAATTTCGTAGGGGAGGAGGGGCCAAGTAGAGGTGATGGTTGGAGGAGGAGAAGACACGGACATCCTTCTCTGTCGTGGAGGTGGCTGTTCTGATGACTAGTGACGGTGACTGTTGGGTGAGAGCCTCTTGTGTGTCAGGCTCTGCTCTTCATTGTCGTTTAATGATATTGAAGGGGCCCACTTGGGCCTTAGGTCTTTTTTCCCCCAGGTTTTAAAACTTGAATATTAAAAAAAATGCATTCCAATAATTAAAATCATTTGAACAGCAACAAAAAATGGCACCCTGATTAAACTGCATTTTACAGCCCACAGGACACCTTGGACCAGCTTACTCTTTATTCTAGATTTCACTGTCGTCCCACCCAGCCTCCTCCTTCACCAACATGCAAGTTCTTTTCCTTTCCTGCCAGCCAGACAGGTGGATGGGAGAGGCAGGCGCGGCCTTCGTTGTCAGTAGTTTTCCATTCTTCGAGGTGAAAAGGGGCAGCACGGTCATTTAAACTTGATCCAACCTCTTTGCATCTTACAAAGTTAAACAGCTACAAGAAGTAAGATAAGAAGGCAATGCTTGTGGAATGTCCAGGGCATGTTGGTGGCGCGTGCCTCCTTAGGGCACGCCTGCTTGCTTCTCCTGTTCAGTCGTTTCTTTTGAAGGCAGTGGATTTTTCTCTTTTGTTTCTGTTTTCTTCAATCTCGACTTATCGACTTTCTCAATCTCAGCCCTATCGGGTTTGTCCGACGTGGCTGCGGAGGAAGAGGAGCGAGTTACCAGCGAGTGAGGTCCGGCCTGCACAGTGGTCGCCGCCGAGTCTGGGCCTTAGGTCTTCCTGGGGGGTATGGTTGATTTTTGGTCCCCACCCCTCACTTGGGTCGACGAAAATGATAATAGAAGAGAGTCTTATTGGAGCCAAACTGAGGACTAGCCCAGAAGCCTGCTTCCCAGATCACTCTAAGAAATAGCTCCAGAGAAGCAGGGTTTTTAGCACAGTTTTATATCTTGTCAGAACAAAGTACGTTAAACAAGTCAGGGATACATTTCTTCAAGGTTTCAAAAAAACAGACCAGGATGTATACGTACAGCAGGTACAGGATGGACTTGGCACCTGGGAAGTGAATCTTATCAAAGGAGGATTAACGTTGGCGTCCCAGGAAGAGGGGCCTTTAATCTTTATTTTTAACATGGACGGTCTTTACTTCTGGTTAGTCTTCCCTTTCCTTTAGTGATTAAAACAGGTGTACAATGTATATTTGATAGGCCACAAACAGGCTGTTTCAGGTAGCGTAAAATTCAAGTTAACTCGTCTGTAAGCCAGAATGACTTCTCTAGATCTCAGTATGTCAAAGTTACTCCTATTGCTTGTCACTCCCATCTCTTTTTTTGGTCACCCCTCTTCTCTCCTGTGATAATCTGTTTGCTACTTAAAGCCCGACCTGTTCAGGTTCAGCGTCACCTGGGTTTGTGTTTAGAAATGTAGTCTCAGACCCTACCCTCGCCCTACTCAATCGAATCTGCATTTGAACAAGATCCTCAGGTGGTTTGAATGCCCCTTCCAGCTTGAAATAGTGCTTTATATCACTTGTTCTTAATTGTGGCACTCAGCATCAGAATCACCCACGAGGCTTTAAAAAAAATAAAAAAATAAAAAGACAAGCGTCCAGACCATATACTTGCAGAGTCTGAACGAGTAGTCTGGCGGGCGGCCTGGGTAGCCATAACACGGCGGGGAGCTCCTCGGGGGTGGGTGGCAGGGTGAGAACCACTGCTTTCTCTCACGGGGTCCGAGAGATGAGCGCTAACGGCTTACACCTGCGTGTTTTCTATGTGTCGGGCGCTATGCTAAGCTGTGCGTGCCTGCGCTCAGATCTTTATAACATCCCACTTTACAGGAGAGAAGCTGAGGCTTGGAGGGGTCAGGTAACTTGCACATGGTTCTAAGACTGATCAGTCTCCGAGTTTGGATTTCCTCTGGATCTGTGTGTCTTCAGATGGGAACTCTTAACCGTTGCACCGTAAGAAGAGCTGGACCAGGAATTAGAAGCGCTCGGCTCTGTTGCCTCCTAGTCAGTCATCTGGGCTTCAGAATCATTGACTTGAAAATGAGGGTGTGTGTTCTGCCTCTTTTTCATTGTTTGGACCAGGTGAGGTGATTGGAACGTGAAGGGCTTTGTAAGCTCTAAAGCCTTTACAACTACAAGATAAGTGCTTGAGGGGGACCTGGCCTCCCTGACCAGTCTCGTTTCATGTTCTGCACCTGGTTCTCCTCCCTCCTATTCTCACCTCCCACGGCTCCTTCTGTGTCCCTTTCCTCAGTGCCCGGCTTGCTGGCTGTGGTCTTGATGGTAAACAGTCGCACGTTGATTCTAGCAATGGAATCCATGATGGCAACGACTTACCTTCCTGGAGGTAAGGAGGTTAGCTGAAGCCTCCTTGAGCCCAAAGTAAATGAAGCAGTAGGAAGATTTTAGGGAATTTAGCAGGTCAGTAGCAGAGGTGTGTCGGATGGAGGCCCACCAAGGCCTCTGAAGTCCTATCACCAGGACGCCCCCTGCTCCTCCTGTTTAGTTTAAGGCTGATCCACCTGGTGGGCCTGCAGATGTTGCTTATTGGTGAATGGTTGGGCTGGCCAGGGACAGAAAGACCAGCCTGAGGGGAAACTGAAGCAGGGGTAACTAATTCCTGAGTGTTTGAAATAAAGAAGGTAACCGGCCAGTCTGATTTCCATGCTCTCAAGATGAAGCTTTGAGGGAACCATAGATGTTTTATTCAGACACAGAAATCTAGAGTAATTCAAAACAAGCTTGCAGAAGAGTTGACAAGTGTGTGAGCCCTGTAGAGGAGACATGACTTCTGAGGATTGGCTTGATGAGGTAAAATGGATAGAGCAAGACCGTGACAGTCCATTCCAGGCACCATGGAATGTGCCCAAGAATGAGAAACCAGTGCGGCAATTAGATATTGCTCACTGTGAAGAAAGTCCGTAAGTCACTGAGGTATGAAAGAGGAAAGACAATGGTAGGTGGCCTGGAAGGTGAATTATTGGTGAATCCTTGTCGGGCTAGGATTGCTTTAGACCCATGTCTGTGTATACCTGTCTGTATTAGTTTGCTAGGGCTACTGTAATGAAGTACCACAGACCGGGTGGCTCAAACAACAGAAATGTGTTTTCTTACAGTTCTGGTGGCTGGAAGTCCAAGGTTAAGGTGTCACCTTCAGAGTTGGTTCCTCCTGAGGGCCATGACAGCAGGATCTGTTCTAGGCTTCTCTCCTCGGCTTGTAGATGGCCGTTTCCCCCTCTGTCTTCTCCTCTGTCATACCCGCATGTGTGTCCGTGTCCAAATTTCCTTTTCTTACTGGATTAGGGCCCACCCTCGTGACCTCACTTTAACTGCCTCTTTAAAGAACTTATCTCCGAATATTGTTCCATTCTGGATTACTGGGGGTTAAGACCTCAACGAATGAGTTTTGCCGGGGTGGGGGGGGGGTGGGAGGGACGGACACAGTTCAGCCCATAATTGTCC